GAAGGAACTGAGGGGGTGGAGGGCCAGCAGGGATATATATGTGCCAATATAGCGGCGCCACTCCAGAGGACTCCCTGGCTGACCCAACAGGTACTGCTAAGGGAAAAAGCTCTGGAATCCGTGCACGCACATCTAATTGGAATGGACGTGAGCAACACCTCTTGAAGAACAACAGTTACAGAAGTAAGTAACCTTTTTTATATAGAGGCCACAAATCCCCTTATGTAAAGAGAGTAAATATTTTCTAAAGGGAATAATGTAATGAAAATCCAACATACAAGAGACTCTGAACTCAGCAGTGATCCACAGAGGGTTTTTCAAGCATCTCCAACTTAACTGAACTGCAATTCCCTTTGGACAACAAAAATTACTACGTGATTGCAGAAGGGGCACCTAGCCTGAGCCCCACTGCCCCAGTTAGGGGACAAAGACAAAGGAGTTCAGCTCTGGGTGGGAGGGCCTGTAACCTGAGCCCCATAATTCCAGGCAATGGGGCTAGGGCTTTGGTTCTGGGTCCCAGCAAGTCTAATGCCAACCCTGGTGACCCCCACTTTGGGCGCATGATTCAGTGAGCAGGGTGTGAGGCCCCACCTAGAAAACCTGGGTATGTCTACACAGCGAGCAGAAACCCCCAGCAGCAAATCTCAGAGCCTGGGTCTGCTGACTCAGGCTCATGCTCCAGCACTGCAAATAGCCGTGGAGACACTCAAGCTTGGGCTCTGAAACCCAGCCCCTCAGTAGGCTTCAGAGCTCCAAAGTCTACACAACTATTTTGAATACCTTAGTCTCAGCCCCATGAGCCCACATCTGCCAGCGGTTTCTGCTTCCCGTGTGGAGCTGCCTTCCGACAGCAAACCGTCGCTGAGAAAAGCAGAGTGGATATCCCAAGGATTTTGAGCGAGTGCATTAAAACAGTGAGTTCTAAGGGGAGGCGGCTGTGTGGCAGGTTTACCTGTTTGGCCATTAATCAGCGTCTAAATGAAAGTGTCCCAGTCAGATTTAAAGATCTGCGCAGAGAGCGTTCTAACTCGAGGGAGGCTTGGACGAGCAGACAATTATTATATCTCCACAGGCACTAACCTGCCTCCAATCTGATGGGTTTATGAAACATCATTTCTCACCTCATTGCTGTTTGCACAAGGAGCTATTAGATCAGGCTAGTGAGTGCACCCAATAAAGGATGGATATCTCCATTAAGCCAGGTATTTTACAGCTAGCTAGTTTTAGGCTAGCAGAGTGACAAAGTTCATGAAGATAAACATGCTGTACTGTATTGTAATTGTAGGCGGCCTCCATGCTTTTTCCAGACAGATTTGCAATCAATAGAGCATTGCGTTTGCAAGTACTTAACATTTAATTTAGCGAAGAGGGAGACAGCACAAGTACATCTCCCCAGCAAGTGCTGAGGGCCTGCTCTTGAAACAAACATTTCATATTGCTTCAACACAAAAGAAAAAAAATAGGCAAAAGGAAAAGCAACATATGCCAGGCACTGACTGAACCTTGCTCCAACAGCATCCTATGCCAAATGCACACAGAGGGGCAGCGTTCCTTCTCGTTTTTCATGTCCGTGTGCAAAATGAATTTTGGTATGTGCACTAATATGGAGGTGATGTGTGGCACACAATGTCCATACCAGTGCACGTCACAAAACTCATTCCTCACATGGATGGGGTATAGTGGGAGTGGGATGAGGGGTTGAGTGTAGGAGAAGGCTCAGGGCTGGGATAGAGGGTTAGAGTGTGGGGTAGTGAGGGTTTGGTTGGGAATGCAGGGTCTGGGGCGCAGAGGGGGGGCTAAGGGCTGGGATGCAAGCCCTAGGGTGGGGCTGGGAATAAGGCATTTGGAGGGGGTACAGGCTGCCCCAGGGAGAGAAGATTACTCCCAGTCCTCTTTCACCTTGCAGCGCAGGGCCAGGTGAGAAGCACCTCTCTATGGCCACTGCAGCTTTGGCAGGACCGGGGTGGGGACAGGCACCACTCCATAGCTGTGGCATGTCTGGGTTAGGCTGACTGAGTGGGGACCAGCAAAGGGGCACCTCCCCTCGGACGCAGCAGGTCGGGGCTAGGGCTGGTGAGCAGAGGTGCGTCTCCCCCACAACATCACCTGAAAATAAGAACAGATGTTCACATGGCACTATTGCAGCTGCCGTCATTCCAGAGGATGTGTCCATTCTGTTGACAGGTTCTGCTAGATAGAAGTGCAGAAGCCACCAGAAGGTTGATTTTATTTTTTGGTGGTTTGGATTCAGCAGTTTCCACGTCAGAGTGAAGGCATGCTCCATATCCTGTACCTCTGACTGATACTTTGAAAGGTACTTCATATTCTTACATCTTGGGTCAAGTGTGGTATCTGTCTTTGGAAAGCTCACATTGGTACCTTTGTGTTTTGTCAAATTTGCAGCAAAAGTGTTCTTAAAATGAACATGTGCTGAGCTGTCATTTGAGACTACTATAGCATGAAATATGTCAGACTGTATTAAACCGAGCCAGAGACATACAATTCTACTCCCAAAGAGTTCAGTCACAAACTGAATTAACACATTCTTAATGAGTGTCACCAGCATGAAAGCATGCCCTCTGGAGCAGTGGCCAAAGCATGAAGAGGCGTATGAATGTTCAGCATATCTGGCATATAAATACCTTGCAATGCTGGATACAAAAGTCTCATGCAAACATCTTGTTCTCTTTCTGGTGACACTGTAAATCAGTGGGCAGCATTATCACCAGGAAATGTGAAGAAACTTGTTTGTCTTGGCAACTGGCTGAACAAGAAGTAGGACTAAGTGGACTTGCAGGTGCTAACTTTTTGCATTGTTTTGTTTTTGAATGCAGTTACGTAACACACAATCTGCAAAGACATTGCACTACAAAACTTGTATCAAATGAACTGAAAAATACTTTCTCTTATTTTTACAGCGCAAATATTTGTAACAAAAATAGTGGTGTACTCTTTATGTTGTCGTAATTGAAATCATTATATTTGAAAATGTAGAAAAAGTTCTAAAATATTTAATACATTTTGATTGATATTCTGTTGTTTAAGAAGGCAATTCAACCGGAGGTTAATCCTGATTAATTTTAATCACAATTTTTTAGTTAATTGTGATTGACAGCCTAAGTCTCTACCCTCTGTCTGGCAGAAGACGAGAATGGGTGATAGGATAGATGATTACTGGTTCTGTTCATTCCTTCTAGAGCACCTGGCATTAGCCACTGTTGGAAGACAGGATCCTGAGGTGGGCAGACCTTTGGTCTGACCCCATACAATGATGATCTAATGTACTTAATTACTGGTTAAGATTTTGAATGATTTCAAGAGGCTGGCTCAGGGGCTTTTACTCCCTGTTTCCAGCAGCAAAGGGCATAAGGCCCACGTGTAAGAGGCATGTTGGGGTCAGGATTGGGTGTCTTGTATAATCCTTGTAATTGTCTGAAGAGGAGATGGGACCCGCTGTGGAAATAGTGCCTGGAGGAAACTGCCCCTCCTTCAGCAGGGAAC